TGTTTCTATTAGTCACACCCGCTTCTCAATTATGGCTGGTCGTGAGCGCTTTTGTCCTTTTTTCCTTTTCTCTATCGTATAATAATACTTGCTTTTATCGTCATGTTTTACACTTCATATTATATTATTGCCTCTTATTTAGAGCCTCTTCGTTGTCGTACTAACACTCTTTTATCTTCCCACCTTCAGAGTATGCTTTTGCGGGCCTCACTCAGGCAGGTGGGCAGGCGGCAGCATATACCCAATTCCAGTACCCAACAGCGAGTGGTGATCAGAGTGCTCAGCTTCTTCAAGGCTATGCCTTACCTCAACAGGCTGGTCCCACGCCGACTGGCGTCCAAGCTGCTATGTTTGGAGCTCAGTCAGCAGCTTCCTATGGTTTTGATCAATCTAATGCAGTTGCTTATTCACAGGCAGCCTCTGTACCAATGGGCCAAGTAGGAACTGGAAACCAAATGCCCATCCAAGCTGGAATCAGTCAGAGCAACGTTGGCTTTCCCTATGCGGAGTACGCTAACTCCTTCCACCAGTATGGCGGTATGACTCAGGGCCTACCCTCCGGCATGCAGCCTGGAATGGGAAATGGTAAAGTATTTTCTTTTGACCTTGCGTTAGACATGCAGCAATTCAATCCTCTAGTCCAAGGAGATTTTTCCCAGATGGCTAATAATGGAAGTATACTTGAAGCCATTGCTCAACAGCAAGGACTCCAAGGTGGGCTTTAAACTCTTAAAAAATAATTCTCAAAAACATTAAAGGTTTCAGCGCGGCTGCCTTCATGCAACAGCAAGATTCTTCCGGTTCTGGCCTGCAGCGTTCTGGTGGACAAATGTCTGGAAGAGGACAACTTAGTAGGTACGTGTCGATCACTCTTTGTTTAGGCGTGAAAAATATCGGGCTGTGAAAATGTTTTTTCCTTTTTTTGCTGAGTACCCTGATCAGGTGTACCATCTTTTTTCAAATCAAAAATGATCAAACTTTTTAAAAAGGCCCGACAAACCTTTTTAGAGTCATCAGAGTTTTTATCCCGTGGTATTTTTGTGAGTTTTAATTTTTGGTAATCGTGAATTTCAGAGTCGTGTCACGTCCAAAGTATTTATTCTGGTTGAATTTATGGTTTTTTGCACTTTTTCGAAACGTTTTCCATTTTTACATGCCGTTTTAAGAAAAAATGTTTTTGTCACAGACGTACCAGCCACATATTTGCTGCATGTGTGTATATTTTCGGACATCACGAAGCTTAGTCTTTTTCAGCCAAAGGGGTGGCATGAACAAATTCGGTGGTGGTGAGTTCTCCTTTTCCATTATGATTTTTAATTATTGTATGCTTTTTCCACCTGCGTTTTTACCATTTTTATTAGTTTTTTTCAATAGGGCTATCACTTTGGTATTTTCGCAGCGATTACATTTTTTTCTCTTGCTCTTTTAGGAGGCGTACGTTCAAACCCACCAAGCATCACGAACCGTAAGTTGCACTCTTGCAATCTTAATTTTCAAATTTTGTTTTATCTGCAAATCTATTTTTATATTTTAGCGGATGGTCTTCGCGAGGATACAGTCTTCATCAGTCGTCTCCCTCAAAATGTAGACCATGAAGTAATCAAATCTCAATTTGGAATCATTGGGAAGATTAAGGTATTTGTGTTCTGAATTTCCCTGAAATCGTTTATTATTATGATATTCATCTTGGCTATCAATTTAATTTAGACAAACTCTAAGAGTGGCATGCCCATGATATGGATATTTAAAGAGCGTGGAGTCCCAAAGGGAGATGCATTAGTTACTTATGAAGACCCAATGTGTGTAAAAGCTGCTATTGATTGGTTTTCTAGTAAGTCCCTTGTTATAGTTTTTCTCTGACTTAAAATTCTTTTTTCACTACATTATTTTGTTGTTTATCTTTACAGAAAACGATTTTATGAACAAACGTATCGATGTTAGACAGGCAACCAATAGCCAAAGGCCCGTCATTATTCCGCCTGGTGGTGGTGGCGGTGGCTCTGGAGGTATCAGCAATCAAAGCCAAAGCCAGCAGCATCAACTCACAAATATGCATCCATGCGCATCCGGATCGCCTGGCTTATCTGGGTTTGGACTTTCTAATTCTGGTGCTAATCAGCAAAATCAAAATGCAGCAGCTTTGGCCGCAGCTGCTGCAATGGCTGCTGCTGCTGCCAGTCAAGGTGGTTCAATGACCAGTCTTATGAACAGTAATGCTGCGGCCGCTGCTGCTAGTCTTGCTGCTTTGGCCAGTGGATACCCCAGTGGTCCTCAGCAAGGTTCTCTCGTTGGATACAACACTGAAGGTCATCCGATGGGCGGAATGCCTGGTAGTGATCAGTTTATCTCAGGTGGGGTTGGGAACACTGTTGGGGGTAAAATGAGTGGGCATGGCAGTGGTGGCAGAGGGGGCTTGGGTGGAATGCGAGGCCGGGGTGGCGGTGGTATGGGCTCTAGTGGTGGCCAAAACGGTTCTATAACTATGAATGGTCCTGGGGCTTCACAACTTGGGCGAGGCCACATGCAGGCGACGAATCAACCGACCAATGCTGGCCAATCCGGATCTAAAGAAGGAGATTGGGAATGTTCATCATGTCAGAATATAAATTTTTCCTGGCGCCAAGAGTGTAATAGATGCTCAGTAAGA